GGAAGCACCCACTGCCAGGAGCACAGCCCAGCTGCCTGGGATGGGGGAAATCCTGTGCTGTGAAGCAGGGGAGAGCCAGTGGCTGGGACAGGGCAGGAAAGGACAGGGCACAGAGACAGAGCCCCTCTGTTAACAGCATGTGCCAGGGTACCTGCTCCTCCATCCCCACCGCTCGCAGCGCTTGGCGGCCCCTGTGAGACAGGGCCAGGTTGATGCTCCTGCCACGGGCAAAGCTGGACACTCGGATATCTGCAGGGCAAGAGCAGCTGGTTATGGGGACAGTGATATCTCAGTCACAGCGTGGCTTTCAGAAATCCATCTATGCCACTAGAGTAGGACCACAGCTGGTCTGTGGGTTAGAGAGGGTTAATGCATGAGGTTTGTTTTGAGAAGTATTCTCTGACCAAGGCTGTTGGCCTGGAGACCAAGAAGAGAAGAAGAAGAAGAAGAAGAAAAGCAAGAAGAAACCTGCAGTTGGGAAAGTTTTTTTTTTAAAGTTTTGTGGAATACAGGCGTAGATGGTTTTACACCAATTAACATGTTGATCTATTGTAGCCAATGAACAAAGTGTGAACTGTGTAGAGGGTATAAAGACAGTGTGCTGTTGTAATAATGGAATATTAGCCTTCTGAAATGTAGTGTGCCTATCTGTGTGCTGTGCCTGCCTCTACAGCAACGTGCCATGATGGATAAACCACTTGCAGAAAATCTGTTCCACATTTGCTTGTTCCTCCCTGGCAATAAATTAGAAAAGGCAGCAGTGGATTGTTAGAGATTAACACAAAACCATTAAATAATGCTTTGGTTTAGCTATAATATTTTCTCTTAAACTGTGCCTTCCTAATTACTCTTCATAAGACAGTGCCTAAACGAATAATTGAGGTAGGATTTTGTAGGTTTTGCCGAATTAATTTAAATTGTCCATGGAGAACTTTGGAGGCTTTTTCTAAACACTTTAAAATCTGAATTAACAAAACATACGGAATATTAAAATTACAGATACATTCAATATGACTTAGTCAACGAACCTTTGGCACAAATTTGTCTGCTAATATCCCACTAGTAAGCTCTTGGAATTGCTGTGTGCCCTCTGTGCTAACCTTCCAAAGAACATGTAAAGAAACTATTATGTACTTCCTCCTGATGTCCATTTGAGCCTGGTGAGGGGAACATCTCCCTGCAGCATCAGCAGGTGGGGTAGGGGTGAGTCCAGCCAGGATCCTCCATGCCAGGGAAGGCTGGATCCTGACAGCACCCCACGTGCCAGAGGGTCCATTAACATTAAGAGCCATTTCCCCTCTAAATGGAAAAGGCTGAGCAATGAATGCCTGCCAGGTTCTGCTGAGATTGATGTTTTTTGGGGCATTGGCCTGTTCCTCCTCTGAGTTTCCTCATTTAGACTCCCTGTGCTGTCTGGCCAGGGCATGGGGCAGAGCCTCCTCCTCCCCACATGTACATCAGTGTAAGCAATGGGCCAAAAACCAGAGTGGCACGGTAGCATCCATCCAACTCAGAAGGCAGCAAAGAACAATCAGAGGCTTTTTGAAGCTGTGGAACTTCTGGCAGCTGTGAGCCACGCAGCAGAACTGCCTGTTCTGATGTCTGTCAGGGCTGGATGAGTTACTGCAGGGTCAGGCATGGCTCCTGCTTCCCCTCACTGCACACTTGAGTAATTTCACTTTCCAGGGTATCATTCCCACCTGCCACTCAGCTTCCCACCTCTGCCAAGGTTTTCTTTTGTCTGCCAGCTGACAGATACTGAAGATGAACAATTTCTCTGCCTTTGAGCTGGTGGCTTGGCTCTAAATCCTAATTTCTCTTTTGTGGTGCCTTGTGGACCTGGAGGCTCCATCTCTCCTTCTTACTCAGCACTGTACTATAGTGCTTCCTGCAGAGACCAGGCTTCAGAGGTGAGGATTTGAATCAGTGTTTAAGCCAAGAATATAAAAAAGGCATCATTTTAGTAGCTAAGGAGTGGGTTCCCTCCACACAAGATGAACTTCAAATAAATGCTCCTCCCTACCACAGGAGCTAAAGAGGAGAGAGAAAAGAACATCCCCAAACTGCCATTCTCAGATTTAATTGTTTTCTTACAGTTTCAGTGAATTCACACAGCAATGATCAGGCTGACCTTACCTTCTCTGGCTTCATAAACATCAACATGGAAACCTCGTCTAGCAAAGAAACAGGCATTTAATGCACCCACCTACAAGACAAGGACCAGGAATGGTGCATGAAGTATTTCAGAGGTCACTACTGACATGCATCAAAGGAAAGAAGTGATCAGGGGATGCAGTTCAGCATAAACAGAGAGGTCCTTTGACCAAGAACCTTAAAAGATTTTTTACTGAAGAGCAGTCCTCTGGCAGCCCTGTATGTTTGCAGTCTCCAAGACAAAAGCCACTCATCAAAACTCTTTTTATAAAGTCTTACTAAGCTCTGGCTTGTTTACACACAACAATGGAGTGTAGCAGGGCTCACCTCTTCAGCCAGAGGCAGCAGGAGCTGGTGGAGGCAAGCTCCCAGCTCCTCTCTGGACTGTGTTTACCTTCCTCACTAGAATTCAGCATTCCCTTGGGAACAAAGTGAGGGAGAACAGTACAAATACCTCCTATTTATAATTTAAATAATTTTTAAATTTTAATTTCCATTATGAATGGTTGTCAGAACTGCAGCCTCTTCTGTCATCACTCTTTTCCAGTAAGCTAATGTCCAAAAAGTCAAGAGAGAGATGTAGGTGTGGCAATTCCCCAAGCTGCCATAGAATCACAGACTCACAGAATGGTTTGGGTTGGAAAGGATGCTAAAGATCATCTTGTTACAACCCCCTGCCATGGGCAGGGACACCTTCCACTAGACCAGGTTACTCAGAGCCCCATCCAGCCTGGCTTTAGTGTCACCTCTCTGCAAGTAGCAGTGGATGAAAACCATTCCCAAACAAAAGTGGCCAGAGGAAGGCATTTCCTCTCCACCTGGCATTTACCAGTCTCAGTTCTTGCAAAGCATTTCACCTTAGAGATTTGGTTACAGCCAAAATCAGCCAGGGGACAGGGGAACCTGGCAGCCCAAACAAGGACTGTTATTTGGTGTTATTTAGTGTTATTTAGTGTTTATTTAGTGGGCACCGCTGCTCCACCCACCACCCAAACCCCTTTGTCCCAGAAAAGGACAGGAGCCTCCCACAGCAGGAACTCAATCAACCCCATCATCTGACAAAGGAATGATTTCAAGAAAAACTTTCACCCCCACATTCAAGCAGTGTTTTCACAGCCCCAGCTCCCCAGCAAACAGTCATGCAGCAGCTGAATGGCATTTCCTACCAGACCACCACCAATAACAGCGACTCTTTTTCCTTGTGGGTCACAGGGCTCCATGCCAGCTCAGCCCTGGGGTCTCAGATCCTTGATCCCTGGGTCTCTGATCCCTGCTCCCTGGGTCTCAGATCCCTCTGCTTCTCCCCAGTCCCACTGCCCTTGCCAGGAGTGAATGTGGGTGGCTGAGTCATTCTTCTCCCCCGGTTCATATTAAAGTTTAACTCCCAGCCCAGGGGCTGTCAGGGAGTCAGCCTGGCTGAGCCCGAGGTGTTATTCAGTCAGGCTCTATGCAAAGGCCTCTTTTGGAAATTGCAGAGCAATCCTGCAGTCTCCAAGGAATACACACAGAGCAGAGGAAAACTTGCATTGGCCAGGCTTTTTCTGGTGCTTCACTGGGATGCAACTGCAGAAGCATTGGTGGGACGATGGGGAGTGACTTCTGGAGGCTCACAGACTCTCTCCTGAAGGTGGGATGTGAGCCACACTACTTGCCCAGGAGCCTCATTCCATCCCTGAGGACATCTTTCATCCAAGGAAGCTGTGTGTGACTCGGGCATTTTGGGGTGTGATGCTTAGGAGAGGCTCTATGCCTACTCTATGCCTGCTCTTTCCAGGACTCAGATGAGGCTGTGAGGAGACATCTCTGCAGGCATTATTTCACATGTCCATCCTTGGCAGGAAATGCTCTACTGAGCCAATGCTGCCCACAGTAAGCATTGAAAAGGGAGGAGCCAATTAGGGCCAACATACAATAATTAAACAGCAAACAGTGAAACTGCAGACATTCATATGACAGAGCACAATTTATTGCTGAACCCGCTCAGAGAATAGTTAAGGTCAGAAAAGCCCTCTAAGAACATCAAGTCCCAGCTGTTAACCCAGCAGTGCCAAGCACACCCCTAAGCTGTGACCCTAAATGCCACATCTCTGTGGCCACCAGAGACCTGCAGGGACGGGGCAGGACTCCAATGCTTCCCTGGGCAGCCTCTTCCAATGTCTCACAATTGTTTGCAGTCAAGAATTTCCTCCTAATATTCAATCTAAACTCCCGTGGCACAACTTGAGGCCCTTTCCTCTTTCAGGTAGTTGTAAAAAGTGAGAAGTTGTGAGAGCAATAAGAATCTCAAAGACTGCAGAGCAGAGAGGGCAAAGAGCAAGGTAGGTTTTACATAGTAAATACATTATTCATTAATTGTTTTTGGAACACAGACAGCACATGATTAGCTTCCAGCAGTGACAGTTACTATCTTTTCTTCATTCTAAACAAAATTTAGGTCCCTGGGTTTTCTTAATCAGACTCACTCACAAACTGCACCAGGCAAACCCAGAGTACAAATGTTCTCCATTTTAAAAGCAGAAGGTGGGAAGGTACTGAGAAAATGCTGCAAAATCATTGTTCACCTTTCCATATTAAGCAAAATCAGGCTGCTGACAGCATGAAAAAATGCTGCCTGATAAAAACTCTGAGTGAGTCTTTTAAGAAGTTGTAAATAAAACTAAAAAAGAGCAAGATAAACATGGGCATGGATTAAAGCCTGCCTCTGAAAACTAGTGGGAAAAGGAAAGGAGGGAAAAGCGCTCGATTTACATTGCTGAAGAAAAAGACATGTCAATGGCTGAGGAAGAACATCAGGATTTTATTGTTTTTAGAAAGGCAATGGTCCACTTGCAGAGGATCCTGTACTCTCAGTGTGTGGGCCACCTGCAACAAGAAAAATGGGGTTATTGTGTTTAGCAACAGCCAGTAGTGCTTCAGGTGCAAAAAGATGTGTTTGTTCTCATACCTTGTGGTGGAAGGCAGCTAAAGAAGAGGAAGAGCACAGTTTAAAGGCCATGACAAGATCTACTGATTTCTGCAAACAGTGAATTGCACTGATCCTGACAGGAGCCAGGAGTTCTTTACTGGTTCAGATTACAAACCCGTGTCAAGGGGAAATAGGTAGAAATGTTCATCCCTTATAATCCCATTAGGTAAATAATCTGTTCAGGAATTCAAATCCTCTGCTAAAGAGGGCTGTACAGACATCCCTGCCAGCAGGTCACCCGTGCCCAAGGCTGCAGCTGCCTCCGTCCTGTTCTCCTGTTCACTAAGGTTTTTTATTTCCCCAGGAATTTCTGATTAGTAAATGTCCCAGCAGTGCTTTAAGAACATAAATCCTGCTGGGAACCTCAGCCAGAAGGTAAAACACTTCTCCCTGTGCCCCCATTGGCCTCATTTAGCAGGTGACTGCTGGGTTCACAGGGAGACCCAAACCATGGGGTGAGAGCCCCTGCAGAGCAGAGCAATGATCTGTGTCATCCTCATCCTCATCCTTGCCAAGCAATGATCTGTGTCATCCTCATCCTTGTCACATCCCCAGGTTTATTCCACCTGGCCACCCCACCTGGGCAGGGAGAAAGGGCTGCAGGTGCATGGCACGGCTGCCTGCTGACTTACATAGGCTGGGCAGAGCTGCTGGTCCAGTGCTGTGCCATGGATGGGGACAGGAGGCTCCTGGGGGGCTCGGGGAGCACCCCCATGGGAGGGTAATGGTGGTGGTGGTGCACCACAGGTGCCTTGGGCCTGTCTGCTCTCACAGCCAGGGGAGCAGCAGGCTGCAGGTCCTTGTGGGAGAGAGACAAAGGGTGGCTGCAGAAACCTGTGCCCCCACGGGGTGAGGTTCCACCCAGCCACCCCTTGGGAAAAGGAGAAGTTTTGGGATGTGTTTGGAGAAGAGTCTGCAGGTTCCAGTACAGAAGGTCCAAGAACATGTGGTGACTTACAGATTTCACCCAATGCTCAGACCCCACTCCCTCCAATCTATTCCACTGGTGTCAGGGAAATGCAGAATGACAGGGTGGCCTGGAGAGGAAGGTGGGCATCAGGCCATGCTCTTCCCCTGTCATCTTTCCTCTGGTGCAGCCCTCTGTCTCTCCCAGCTCTTTCTTTGTGTGTTTGTGCCCTTGCAGGGAGATGAGGCAGTGCCTGCTGTGGGCAGGGATGCTCTCCAGGCCGGGTGTGGTTACCTGCTGTGTGTGCTGGGGCAGGGCAGAGCTGGCTCCCCCAGGCTGTGTGAGCATTGCCAGTGGCACAGCCTTCAGCATCATGTTCTGCATCATGATCTGGTGCATCTGAGCATTCTGCATCAGCATCATCTCCACCATATCTGGCAAGAGAAGAAAACAATAAGCTTTCCCTGACTCCAGCTCCTGGCTGTGCCCTCCCTTGTCCCAGATCATTGCTTTCCATGTGAGAGGTTTCCTCAAATTTATGTGATATTGCAGTGCCACCTTGAGAGTCCACTGGCTCATAGAACTATAAAGGTTAGAAAAGATCTTTAACATCATCAGGTCCAACCCTCAGTCTGTCATTTCATGCCCATCAAACCTCCTTACACGATCTCTGGGATCCAAAGGACTTGTGCAGTGTAAATAACTGGGGAGAAGTGAAGAGGGAGAGGTGAGAAAAAAGAGAAGGGGAAAAAGCAATGAAGGCAACTCTCATTTCCCTTTTTACTGATTATACAAAAAGTAGTTTACATGTAGCAGCTTCAGAGAAGTCATGAATGGATTTGGACTATTTTGGTTATAGAAATAAACTGTGATTCAAAAATCCAGACACTTAGATGAAGCATGAGCTGAGAAATACTGCAGTTTCATCACTGAGGATTCCTGTGTGGGATGAACCTTTGGCTGAAGGCTGAGCCAGGGAAACTGTCCCAGGTTTTAGTTCATGTATTATTTCACAGTAGCACCCACCTATGTTTAGAAACAAACTCTTGTATTGGCATTGCACTATATTTAGAACAACACTTTCAGATGTTCTGTCTCGTTTCCAAACACAGGGCACAAATAAAAGCCTGAGGAGATCGAGCAGCAGGTTAGGAAGGAACAAAAGAATAAAGCCAGATTTTAGAAGCCTTTTTGCTAATTCTGGAATCATCCATGGGCAGGAGTTTGACTTTGTTGATATTACTCAGTGCCGTGAGTTGGAACTGTTTTTCTTTCCCAATCTTCCCTTGAGTTTGTAGTTCCTTTTTCTTTAGTTTGAGTTTTGTGAGCCTTTCACAACTGGTCCCCACATGCTACTTACAAAGCACAACTCCCAGAGCTCCACCAGCTCAATAAACATCACGTCACTAATTAGCTTGGACACCATGGCATGTCCCCTTCCCTTGCCATGGCACCTGCCCTGCCCTCTCCAGGCCTGGTGACAGGAGGTGGATGGATGCTCTCTGGAGGGTTTGTTACCTTCTTTAATGCTCCCAGAGCGGGGGGCAGCCAAGGGCAGGGCTGGGGGAATCTGTGTGATCACAGGGGATGGCTGGGGCAGCTGCTGGATGATGGTGGCAGGCTGAGCTGGCACCTGGAACAGGAAGGGAAATGGAGAAGTCAGGGCTGGTTTTGGCCAGCTCCCCCATCTGCATCATGTGCCTAGGCTTCATGAAACTCTGGGGTTCTCGTGGAGAAGCTGCTGAGGGTGTGGGCTGCATGAGCAGGCAGTGATGTGCATTACAAAGTGGCTGAATGGCCAGGCTGGAGTGTGGGCAGCCCTGCCACTCCTTTTGCCATCTTGTTCCAAGGGCAAACCATTCCCATTGTTAATTGTGGGCCTTATTTGCAAGATGATTTGCCCTTAGGTTTCACTGCAGGCAGCAAGGGTCCCATAAAAGAGCAAGAGGCATATCTTCCCTTTCTGTGGGATGAGCAATTCCATACAGCTCCCAAATATCAGCTCAGACTGGCACAGTGCTAGTGGAGTTTTCTAGGAGACAATCCTCACTGTCTGCTGGATAATCCTTGGTGGCTCCACTTGGGAATCTGGAAAAGGGATCTGGTAGACTTGTGGGAGGGCAGCTCTGTGGTCATATCCCCCAGGTGGTGCAGGTGGCTGGGAAAGCTCTTCCAGAAGGTGCTGCTCCTGCAAGGTCAAGTATTTTCTTAAAGAAAATCTGGTCACAGCAAGGCAGAAAATATGGCTGTGCTCTCTGGACTAAATGGGATTAGCCCCTGGGAATCTGCAGCAAGGGCACTGCCAGTTCCTGCATAAGGATAAAGCAAGTTTTCCTTCTCACAGGTCTTGAAGCATAAGCAAAAGGGATTGGAAAAAAAAATGTGCAGAACGACATGCCAAAAGTCTGGGAGAACATTTCCCTGATTAGCTGGCCCAGCCTTTATATTCCAAAGCATCAGAGCACTAAATCCTGCCCAGCCCCAGAACTAAAGGACAAAGAAAAGCACAGAAGCCACATCAGCAGTGGATGTATCTGTTACTTCTGGCCAGAGAGGGCTCTTACCCTAAGCTCCTGCAGCAGGTCTTTCCTGTGCCTCAGGGCACTTTGGAGCACATTCCCTGGAAGAGAAAAAGTCCATTATCTTCCCAAAGGATCCCAAAGACAGAGCTATTGCAGCACCTGTATTATGATATTAATTGGAAGATGTGTTATTAGCTTATTAGCCTGATGTTGCATAAAGGTAAAGCCTCGTAAAAGGTTTACCTTATAAAGTAAGGTAAAGGTTTACCTTTAAAGAGGTTTACCTTATAAAATAAAGGCCTTGTAAAATCATGGCTCAGACCTGCTACCTTGGCTAAGCAGAAAAGGACTGTGGGAAAGGGACTCAGCTGAATTAGAGGTAGAAAAACAAGTTGTATAACCATTACATGTGCACATCATCGTGTATGGTGATTGGTTGAATTATGTTTATGTTTTAAAACTATGCAACTGGTCTAAATGCTTTAAAAGCTCTGGGTTTTGCAATAAAGAGGCTCTTCTTTGCACCTGCCTGGGGACTCTGTGTTGCTCAGCTTGAGTTCTTCCACAAAAGGCTTGGGCTACTTTTCTTGTCGAATCCATGTATGGATAATGACTTTATGCCATGTGCAGTCACAGCTGTTCAGCAGCTCTACAAAGGCAGAACACCTCTGAAAATAAACTCTTCAGATTGCTCTCTAGAGCCCCCTTTTAACCTCCTGGTTTAAGAATCCATTTCAGAAAGCTTCTAGATATACCCATGCATTCAGAGGATGACTGTCTGTAGTAAGAGCTCAAACAAACTCCAGTTTGAATGTCAGCTTTTCTATTTTGTTCTGAATCAACTTCCTTTTCAGTTCATCCCACACATGGTTGATTTTGAACTCGCTTGGAATGAAGAAAAGCAAGAATGCTTTTAGATACTATGGAGCCATGCTTGGCATCTGCTCTGGAAAGCACCATTTTGTATTTTGAAACCATAAGTAGTTATAGAGGATTTTTTAAACTTTTTGGCCACAGCATGAGAAGATTCCAACTATTTGTGCATCAGGTCAATGAACAGGAGCCCACAGTACAATCTAGAAATATCACAGAGCTTCCACTGGTAGCCTTAAATCTATAGTTAATATAAACAGAGCATGTGCCATACAAAGAAATGAAGTGTTCCTCCTGCCTTTCCAGAATCCCCAAAACCAAGCAAACAGCTGGACTACAGCAGGGGCTCACTCCTAGGTGTAAGAGCTAGGACAAAGTGGATCACCATCAGTTTGCTCCAGCTGAGCCAGCAGCTGCAGCTGAGAGGCTGCAGAGGATACCTGGGCAGGTGCTCAGCTGGTTGTTCACTTCCCTCGGTCAGGAAAAAAAACAGCTGAAGAAATTCAAAAGATAAAAAGCAGCTAGCTCACAGATAAGGGAGGAGAGGAGATCATCTCCTGAGGAATTTATGTCTGAGAACATAAGCAAGCCCTTTCTAAAATATGCCTATAATTAGAGTAAATGCTTCTCTTACTTGCAGCTGGGAGAGACAACTCCATCTTCTCGAGGTTCTCCTGTTCATTTTCTAGTCTCTGTTGGCAGAACCGTAACCAGAACTGGTTATAAGTCAGGCAGAAAAGCTCACAAGGATTTCCAAGCCTATGGCACAGGTTTGGGATGGAAGAAATAGAGCAGAAGTGGAGAAAAATGGTGGTTCTTAAAGCAGTATGAAATGTCTCATTACCAATCTAGTTACAGTAAAGAATAGTCATGCTTCCAACTGCCCAGGCTATTCCAGACCTTAAAATTGATAGTATGGTGAATCAGGAGACAATACATAATTTATTTTGTAGGGTAGAGAGCTGCATCATGTGGAGAATTTGATAATGTTCAGTTTGGGCTTGCCTGATAGTCCAAGATCTGGACTCTTGATCCAGCAAAGTTCTGACCAGGCAACACATCTTATGTGAAAGCAGACATGAAATTGCCTTTAAACAATCTGAGATTCTCTTTACCCAAGATTTACTCCTAAACTTTGCTGCTCATCCCAGTTCAAACTGGCTTTGAGCTAACTGGTGACATCTCCCATAAAATTAAAGTCAATTTAATTTACTGTAGGTGCACATAAACTTCTACAATGTTATTTAAGATACTCCTCAGTGTATCTCAGTGGAGTTATACTATTTTAAAATACAGTGTTAATGCTTAAACATGCGAGAGCAAAAAGCAAAGCAAGGAGAATTACTCCCTTACCTTTTCTAAGAGTTTGAGTTTCAGTCGTGTCAGGTGATCCACCACTGAAGGATCTGCCATTATCTCCTGGAAGACTAGGCAGGCAAAAACAGGTTAAAAAGCTAAACAGGTAGGTAGGTTCTCAGTGCTCATTTTTTTCATCTTCACAATCTTAATGGAATAATTCCTTTCTTAGAAAGCAATAGTAGAAGATGAGTAAAAATTGAGAGGAGCAGATAAAAGATTCAGTTTCACTTCCAGGTAAAAATGAGTACAGGCATTCACAACGTCACAGACACAGCTTTTCCTGCCATTTCTCTCAACATACTTTTGTGCTGCAGGTTGTGATGCTCACAGGAAGGCAACTGAGACTGAATATTTATTTGTCTGTTCCTAATGGTTGCTACCCTTCCCCTGGCACCATCACTAAGCCTGGCCTCTGTGTTGTTAGAGCCTTCTAATTAGCTCAGAGGTTTGTGCCTGTGACCTGGTTGCTAAGTTTAGAGTGTCAATAAACAATCTCCAGGCAGAGAAGCTTGTGTACCTTTGGTAAAGGAAATGCCTGGCACATTAGTGGGCAAGAAAAAACGAAATAAAAGCCAGTGGTTCATTAAAACAAGCCTGGTGCCAGTGGTCAGATTGTGATCTTGCTGATTGGTATCTGTTTATTCCACTATAAGGGGTCTGCACACTTTTGACATAACCCTTTACATGAGTTGTTATTACCACACAGTGACAAAAAAAAATGAAGGAGCATACCTGGGACTCACCCCTGGGTAAGCCCAAGAGCAAAGAGGCTATGGTGCAACATCTATTTAGTTAAAAATCTCCCAAGAAACCTGTGGAATGCCTCCCTCTCCCAGCAAAGCCCTGCTGGCATAAAAACAGGGTAACATTTATCAGTGATATCCATAAAATGAGCACCAAGGCAAGAGAAAAAAAAGCCAAGTAACAGGCACTCCTTCTCAGGATCATATTTTAAGCCCAGCACAGACAATTTACAGCCCCTTCCTCACTCTCAGGCCACAGCAAAACTGCAGCAGAGCCACTGCTGGCAGCTGGAGCAGCTCAGACATGCTGTGTGAGAGCAGCACAGATCACCTGCCCTGGCTGTGACCCAGCCCTAAAAATACACAGGCTGGAAGTCACTGGAGAAATTAGGAAAACTATGGTGCAGGGATCCCTAAAACAGCTGTGTATTAGCGTTTTGTTTTAGTTTGATTTTTTTTGTTGTTGTTTTGGTTTGTTTTGGGGGGTTTTTATTGGCTCAGTGAAAATGGAATTTTGCATATTATTTGATTTTCCCGGGTGAAAGCAAAATAAAAACAAATTTACAGCTGTCACTCCAAAGCACACTTTGTGCAAAAATGCTCATTTTTGTACTCATTTTCACTGAGCCGAGGATACTTCAAAAGTCCCAAACTTCAAAATTCCAACAGCTGTGCTGTGTCAGAGCTGGGGTTCAGCTTCCTCTGGCAGGGCTCTGTGGTGAATGGCAGGGATGACAAGCCACAACAGAAAATCCTCTCACCTGCCAGCAGTTCTCCTGGGAAACCACTCTGAGTCCTTTTCTGCACTTTGAAACCCCAACAAGACTTTTCTCTAACATCTTGGACTCCTTCATCTGAGCAGCTGCAACAGCCTTTGACAAGGAGTTTCCTAATTATTTTAACCTAAAGCATGAGCCCAGTTATGCCTGTAAACTACAAAAGTATAGTTTGCTTCTGTGCTGGGAAAGAAACCTCCCCCTTTTTGACTTCTGATGACTATTAAGCTGATTATTTTACCACCAACTGGTTTGGTACAGTGCTCCTAAAAGTTAAATTTCTAGAGCCCTCACTGCAGTATGAATAGAGGGTTACAAGGAAATTTGATAAAAAGAACCAGGTATAAGCATCCCATTAAAAGTACAGCACCAGTGTTAAGCAACCGAATTTACTAAAGAGATGAAGAGAAATTTTTGCTTGATGTGACAGGTTTAAAAAAAAAAAAAAAAAGAGCTGTCCAGCAAACTTGCTGAAAGACCCTTTCCCACAGTTATGGATGTCTTGGTCACAGTGTGATCCTTTCTCTTGGGACATCTTACAGCCTGCTAATTAATGTGGGGCCAGGAAGATGCCAGCCACACACAAAATCTTGCTGGAAGGGATCTGTAGCTGCACTGAATCCCAAACAAGGGAACACACTAAAGCATGAGGATTCAAAAGAGCAAAACCAGACAAATTTAATCCCACAAACAGGTGTGTTACACGCACCTCACAGGACAGAATTATTCTGCTCTAAATAGAGCAGCAGTGCTGAAGTCAAAGTTTGGGCACCGTGCCTGCTTTTAGACATGCAGTTTAAAGAGGGAAAGAAAGACCAGGAAAAAAAAATTACACTGCTCTGAGTAATAGATTTGATTAAAGCTTGTATTTTTATAATTTAATGATTTCAAAAATCCAAAGAAGCCACCAGTTTTACAGCTTCAATAAGCAGAGAAAAAGGGAATTGAGGATTGGACACCTGGGATCTTAAACTTATGGCCCTTCAAGGATGTTGGAGTAACCAGAAGACTCAGACTCCAGAGGAGATGAAAGCCTGGAAATTTGGAAACTCCATGTCCAAGAAAATTACAATAGAGGCAACCAACATACAGAGGAAAAATTCCACAACCAGCAAGAGGTTGTAAAAGTACGTATGTTTATATACATCTAAGCTTATACATATTTGTTAAAGTTTTGACATCATCCATACATATTCATAACCTGTCCCACGCCTGCTTTTTACCAGTTTTTCTGCTCATCAATCTTAAACAATTAGGTAAAAATCCTGTTGTATAGCAAAGCATCACCTGCTCTTGATTACACAGCACACTATAATCTGGTTTGAGTTTAGTTCTAAATTCCTTATATCTGAGGGATTAAAGAATGACGACCAAATTAGCGTGAAGAGTGAGAAATCAATTAGCAATAGACGACAGAATACTGATTACTGAAGAGAATCACGCGACTTTGAACCAATGAACATCAATTTATTCCTTTGCTAAAAATTTACAAATGAGCAGAAAGGCGGGAAAGGAGCCACCAACCCTCCACCACATACTATTGGCCGCACGTCG